CTGATCCCTCGCTGATCAGTGAGGGATCAGCGAGGGAATCTGATTTTTGTCATTTCCCTCCCTGATCCCTCCCTGATCAGTGAGAGATCAGCGAGGGAATCTGATTTTTGTCATTTCCCTCGCTGATCCCTTGCTGATCAGTGAGGGATCAGCGAGAGAATCTGATTTTTGCCATTTCCCTCACTGATCCCTCGCTGATTAGTAATTAAAATTAATAAATAATTAGAAATTTAATAATAAATAATTAAAAATTAATTAGTAATTAAATTTGTAGTTATAAAATAAAAAATTGTTGAAAATCAGTTTCTAAGCAATCCCTCGCAGATCAGCGAGGGATCAGCGAGGGATTGTCTAGAAACTGAATCCCTCGCTGATCCCTCACTGATTTGCGAGGGATCAGCGAGGGATTCATTTTCTGGGCTATCCCTCACTGATCCCTCGCAGATCAGCGAAGGATCAGCGAGGGAGTAGCCAAAAACTGAATCCCTCGCTGATCAGCGAGGGATTTATTTTCTGGACAATCCCTCGCTGATCCCTCCCTCGCTGATCCCTCGCTGATCTGCGAGGGATTTTTTCCCTCACTGATACCTAGTTTTCTAGTAGGGAGTTGGACTGGAGTCACAACATTTTTTTAAGCATAGACACATGGAATGGGCTTAATCTTAGGAGTTGTTTGTTAATAACTTAATGAGACTGGCAACTTACTCCTTCGGCTATAAATAATTGTTTGGTAATGATATGATAAAATAGAAAGTGACTTATACGGAAACTTTATGCAGAAATCTAAGTTTTATCCAAACCCGCTACTCCAATTAAAAGACATGGTCGTTCCATCTTTGAAAAAACACTTCCAATCTTTACATACAAATTAATCCATACATGACTTAGTAACAAATGGGATTTAGTATTACAAATATACACATGACCAACTTTTCCACTGAATTTGTTGCCACAAACCCATATCCCCACTGGTTGTAATTCTCAGCAGACCATTTACAAAAATTCATCAATCGTCCTTACTTGAGCAGAGGTTACATCTACTATACAACAAATTCCCACTAGTACTATGAACAACTTTCTCATCTTTATGTATTTAATTTCGAAGTTGTTCAAGTGGTAATTGTACTCGCAGTTCTGCAAGCAATGAGCCAACTTATATTACTGGAACAAACGAATCTCTTCGCCTCTTGGGATTTACACTCGTTTCTTTGTTGCCTTTTCTCATCATTGCTACAAATTCATCGTAGTTGATCCGACCATCCTGAATAATGTACCGTCATTAATTGATTAATTACTTGTAACATTATGTTATAATAAGGAGTTTTTGACGTCTTTTGTTTTTGGTTACTTACGTTATCGGTATCAATCTCTGATACTATTTCTTTTATTTCCCTTCCGTCATTCATTCCGTATTCGCGAATAGCTTGCTCCATTTCTTCTATAGTGATGTACCTAACATCATAGAAAAGATCAGATTTTACAAACAATTCTCTCTTCTTTTATTTAAATATCCTAATAGAGTGCTTTATGAGATTTAAATTTATAGGAACGGAAAATAAAACATCCTATCTAAAAGTGTTAGAATAGTTTATAGGATGCTTTGTCGTAACAAGGTTTTTAAGACTTCTTCAAATAAAGTGTAATATTACCTCCTGTCCTAAAAACACAAGCGTCCTATAAAAAAGATGGGTTTATAAGACACTTTTCAAAATATTCAATAAAATAGCTAGCACGACACTTTATTTTTAAAAAGTTATATAAAATTTGTGCCCAAAAGTGTCATATAAACTTATTGTAACACTTTTAAGCAAGACGATTTATTTTTTGGATCAATAAATCGAAGTCCTATGAGGCACTCTAATAGGACATTGTTAAACATGTAAGTGTCATATAAATCCGATTTTGTTATAGTGAATATAAAATGTTTTCTCACCCGCTGTTATCTTTATCAAAGTATTGAAATGCTGTGTAAAGATGCTCTTCTCTATCTATTCTGTTCATATGCATTGTTGCTGTTATGAACTCGTCGTAGTCTATGGTTCCATTCCCATCTGCATCTGCCTGTTATATTTTCATTTTTTTGTTCAAATGGCCAATGAGTTTTTACATGTTAGTTTCCAAACGTTCCTAGTAATAAGAACTCGATAAATATTATCAAGAAAATCTTTATGGGTTATATATCTTACAGCTTCAATCAGTTGTTTGACTTCACTTTCGGATAACTTTGTTCCTTGCTTGGAAAGTCCTTGCTTTAGCTCCTCGAGCGTTATCGTTCCACTGTTGTCTGTATCCATACCTCTGAACATTTCCTTCAATCCCATGATTTCTTCCTCCGAGAGGCATCCGGCAATAACCTAATCATTCGGAAATGGTCACGAAATCAGATACCAATTTCCCCTTTTTGCTGAAGCTACAAAACATAGAGCTTTGGCTTCACTACAACAAAATCGGGTTTAAAAGACATCATAAATATCTGATGTTTGAACACTTTTGGTGTCCTATAAACTTGATTTTGTTGTAGTTTGGGTTCAACCTCCATGAAGAATGATGGAAACATGATACTTTAATCGGATCTAGTATGGTACCCGAAGAGCAACTTTCTTGAACTTGTTCATGGCTCTAAATTGTTTTAGCCTGCCCATAACAGCATTGTCAAGTGGTTTATCGGGAGCTTCACCGTCTTCTTTAATCCACGAATGAGCTGGCGAAAAAGAACAGCTAGCGATGATTTCAACGATCATGCCATAGATTACGTGCATTATGTCCGAAAAGTCCTTACATTTTAATTCATAACATAAACATATAGATGGATTTCATGCTCTTTTACAACTTACAAAGCACTTGATATGCCGTCAACCGCTGCTTGGGATCTGAATTCAACATCTTTCTAACGAGATCCTTGGCCTGCGGAGATATTGAAGGCCAAGGGTCACTTGTAAAATCTACGTGTCCACGCAAGATTGCGTTAAATATCCCATGCTCTGATTCTGTAATAACACAAAATTTTCTTTAGTTTAGTGCTTGTAATCCTTTTAGTTTCACTATAACAAAATGTGCTTATTATTGGATGTTTATAATTGTTTAAGCATCATAATAACATTCTTTATAAGACCAAACTATAAAATGTTGTATATAAAAGTGTTACAATATGTTTATAAGATTTTTTTAGGCCTTCTTATCAAATTTCCTAAGATGCTTCAAAAAAGTGCCACATTGTGACACTTTAGAGAAGTGCCGACACTTGTTTTCATATGACATTTTTTAAATAGTGTCGTATAAAATAAACAATACCACACTTTATTATAAAAATGCCATAAAAAACTTTCAAAAGCGTCTTATAAACCTATCGTAACACTTTTAGATAGGAAAGTTTTTTGTTTGATCCTATACAACTAATTCCTATATTAAACTGTTGATTTTGGGTGGTAAGGAATCTGTAGAATACCTGCCCAGAAAGGAGGAACTCCGCACAGAAGAATATATAACATCACACCAATGCTCCATATATCAACTTCTGGTCCGTATTTTCTTTTCAAGACTTCAGGTGCGATATAATATGCACTTCCAACAATGTCGCTGAACTCCTCGCCTGCATTAAATTGTTAAAATTGCTTCATATCATGCATATATATATTACTTCTGTTTATCGTTTTATATTTCTTTCTATGCACCATAATTTTGTTTGAATGTTACTGCTATTTTGCGACTTTTCACCGCAAAACAAAGGTGCTTCAACTATAGATTTTTCTAACGGATTTTTCCGGCAAATCGGTAGCAGATCACTAATTACCGACAGCTTACCGGTGCATAAGGCCGTGGGTGATGGTCAATCCGTTGGTAATCATGACAAATCCCTTTTGTTTTATAGCATTTCTTGACTTCAATTTTGTGGTGGGAAAACGGAAAACATTTTGAATATAATACCTTGCTTGTAGAAAACAGAGAGGCCGAAATCCGTAGCCTTGAGGGGAGCATTCTCGTCATTATTCAAAAGAAGAAAGTTTTCGGGCTTTAGATCTCTATGAATAACTCCCATAGAATGGCAAGTATGAACGATTTGGACGATGGTCCTAAGCAATGATGCAGCACCCCTTTCGGTATAATAACCCTTGGCAATAATCCGATCAAACAACTCTCCACCGGCACATAACTCCATCACCAAATGAACCGAATGCTTGTCCTCATATGCCCCTTTAAGGTCCACAATATTCGGTTGGCCGGTTAAATGATGCATAATCTGTACTTCTCTCCTAACATCCTCGATATCTTCCTTGTTTACAAGTTTTCGTTTGGCTATTGTTTTGCATGCAAACTGTTCTCCGGTCTGTTTGCTCGTGCACAAATGGGTGACACCAAACTGGCCGCGGCCAAGCTCTTTGCCGATTGTGTAAAGCGTGCGAACATCTTCCATTGGCCGTCCCAAGACGGTGCCAATAGGAGACGGTCTGCCGGATTTTGTTCTGGGAGACGGGGATGCGGTTGGAGGGGTGCTTCCCGTAGGATCATTTTGTGCATTTTCTGAAGATTTTCCAGCACCATCAGCTGTTTCGGGTTCTTTTTGGGAACAACAGTTCCCCATCGAATGATGTGACGGTATCACCCGTCGATCGATCGGGAGAATAGAAGGGATAATAGGGTTTTGGGAGGTTGAAGAAAAGAAAGGTTTAGAGAGAGAGTTAGTAAGATCAACACAGAGCAAAAGAAAGAGAGACAAACAAAGACGAAGAGAGAGAGAGAGAGAGAGAGAGAAAGGTGGAGAGAGATTGCAAAAAGGGATTAAAGTGTATGGAAACAAAGAGGATTTTGGGAGCGACTGATGAGGAGGAAGTGTAGGGATGGAAATGGTCAATGGATTTTCGTTTATTCACAAGATTGAATGGTAGATTACAAACAAAAAATCCTCAGATTATGCCTTCAACAACGTATAGATTATAAATATATTTATTCACTAACAAATATTACCTCATTTCAAATTATTACATTATGAATCTTAGCCGCTCGTTCCAACCCTCGCATGGAGTATATTGCCTGTGATCGTCCATTCATTGATATATAAGAAACCAAACGGCCATCATTCTTGTACGACCATGTCATCCCATTGATCACTACATATGCAACGGCGGATTATATTTTCAAACGGTGGCATCAGTTGACTATAATAAACGAATATTTAGGATTCTTTTCAAATGATGACACCATTTGACTAAAAAATGACACGGATAGGTTTCGAACTCGGTTATGGTGCGGAAGTAAAATTATGCAAACCAATTCTATTAAAGAAATTTGTTCTCATTATAGTTTTAAAATACATATGATGACATTCAACAAATTAATACAGTTGCATATTTCACGAAGCTAAACTTTTTAACCCTTCGACAGAGGAATAATATGATAATTAGAGTAATCCTTTGTTAAGAATAATAATGGCTAGTTAATTACAACAGAGATAATAATTAAAGAACGAAGGAAAGGTCACTTCTTGCACTACCTCAAAATGTTACTTAGGCAACAAATGAAAAATGTTGCCTAAGAGGAGTTTATATGTTGCGTAAGGCTAAGGCAACAAACCCGTGTTGCCTCAGCAGTGTTGCCTTCTCAATGTTGCATTAGAACCTAGGCAACATATGCAAACAGAATATGTTGCCTAAGCGGGCTTCTTAGGCAACACACAAAAGGTTATGTTGCCTAAGTGAACATATGTTGTCTTAGATATCAGCTTAGACAACATACTCTATCTGAATATGTTGTCTAAGATATCATCTTAGACAACATACTCGATCTGAATGTGTTGCCTAAGATATTAGCTTAGACAACATATTCTATCTGAATATGTTGCCTAAGATATCAGCTTAGACAA